GATAAACCAAACAATAAACATGTCTCTGGCAAACAAACCACATGCAGAACAAATGCCGAATTCTAGAAACACAATTTTAAGTGACACAGTATAGATGATCTACAACAACTGCAAGATGCAAATGATGAGGCTTAGCCAAGTAGCACAAGATAATCAATTATTATTCGGCATAGAGTGGGAAAAAAAGTTTGAAAAATACAAGAACTTCTTTAAGATGCCAAACAAGCAAATCCAAGAAAGCTTAGAAAAACATAAAGCAAAAACCCTAAGAAAAGATAGGGAAATCACAAGTATCGCTAGTACAGAGCCTGAAGTAATATGCGTAGTCAGGTATATGTTAGAGCTATATGACTGGCTTGAACACCAAAAAATTAGAGAGAGTGAAAAGAATGAGGCATCACATCTTTCTGAGGCAAAAATCATAAAAGGGTTGTTGGTAGAAAAAGAAAGTGGTCAGACAGACTTCGGAATTACAGAGCTACAAAGGAAAATTCAGAAGACTAAGCCGCCGTATCAAAGTTTAGTGGCTGAATAAAAACCCATAATCATGGAGGACCGTATAATAGCAGATGTAGAAATGAAAGAAGGAACGGAGCATAAAGAAGCCCTGCAGAATAGCCTAATAGTCAAGAAAGCAACTACACACTCTGTAGCAAGTGATAGCTTGAACCCCAAAGTGAAACTAGTAGATAAAAAGCTTCACGAATCTAGTGGTAAACTAAAAGAGAAAAATAGCTTAACTGAAGACAGCCCACAAGACAGTTATTTCGAAATAAAACCCAAATTTACAAAGGCCAAAATAAACAAGAATCTGGCAAAGCCTCTTTTAACAGATAACAAAAATAAAAAGAAAATGAAAGAGAAAATAGCAATCACAATTTGGGATATCCCTAACGGTGCAAGAGCGAACCAGATAAGAAGATGTCTAAACTATTATAGAAATGTGGTTAAAAGCTTTATAGCCAATAGCAAATCGAAAGCGGCATTTGTTGAAATAGAAGCCAGAGATGATGCAAAAGCCCTCGCACTAAAAGAGGCCTGGGCAATTCACTTCGAAG